ATACCTCAAAAGACTTCAACCCACAATTGGTGACAGCTCATTCACTCACCTAAACATGGTGCACAACCACAGAACTCTAGATAAACAAGCCATTGACAAACACAGTACTTCCTTAGAACAGATAAGAGCCCAGCACTGTAAATGTGCAAGTGTCCCTAGGATTTGTGCCTGGCTCTCCCATCTTCAGTGTGAAGTCAGGCACAGTGGGTTGGTTTTTGCTGTTTCTAGAATTACCTATTCACTAAACTGAACTACTAAGCTACCTTATGTAATGAAATGATAATGAAAGACAAGAAAACACACAGGCAAGGGGCTACAACACAATGAATGTCTCAGCTGGGAGAGGAAAAACAACAGAGAATCGAGGAAGTATGTTCACCAGAGAAGAAAGGCTTTCCATCTTAGACAAGCCCCTGAACATGAACAGACTAGTAGGAAATGCTTGGAGGCCAGGCCAGTAGTTAGTGGGGGCTGATTCGGGTGAGGCAATGAGGTCAGAGTCTCAAGACACTCAGGTGGTATAAGGATCAGGCTGTGTGAGAAATGAACAACCAAGGGGATTAATGGAAAGGAAGGACTGTAGATAAAAATAATGATCAGGGACTAGAGAGATAGCTTAGTGGTTAAGAGCTCTGGCTGCTCTTGCAGAGGACCCAGGTTCCGTTCCCAGCACTGACAACTATTTGTAACTCCAATTCCAGAGGATTCAATGCGCTCTCCTGACTTCTACAGGCATTGCAAGTATGGGTGCACTTACATACAAGCAGACAACACTCATACACATAAAAATAAATAATAAATAAATAAAATTTAAATGACCACATTATAAACACTAGACCAAGTAGTAACTATGGCCAGAATGAACTTTTTCTTTTTGAGACAGGGTCTCCCTGTAGCCTGAGATGGCTGGCCTTGATCTCACAGAGATCCCTCTGACTCTGCCTCCAGGGTGCTGTGATTAAAGACATGGACCGCCACGCCTGGCTCCCAGAATGAACTTTTTTAAAAAAAATTTTGCATGTATGCATGTATTGTCTGCATGTAGGTAAGCGTACCCGTGTCGTGCAATGCCTGCAGAGGTCAAAAGAGGCTGTCAGATCCCTTGGGACTAGAGTAATGGACAGCTGTTAGCTGCCATGTGTGTGCTGGGATTTGAACCCGGGACTTCTGCAAGAACAGTCAGTGTTCTTAACTGCTGAGCCATCTCTCCAGCCCCCAGAATGAACTTTTTAAAACATTTATTTGTATATGTATATGGGTGTGTGTGTGTGTGTGTGTACACACACATCAACAGTACTCATGTGTAGGTCAGAGGATAACCTGAAGCAATCGGTTCTCTGCTTCTACTATGTGGGTTCCAGGATGAAACTCAGACCATCAGGCTTGGTGGCAAGTAACTTTACCCTCTGAGACATCTCACTAGCCCCAGAAAGAACTTGATTTTTAAAAAATATTTTGAATAATTTTTAAATTGAATATTAATTTTAGATAATATATCACTTCTAATAAATACCAGATCTAGGCAATCACCAACAGCCCCTAGTCCAGTAAATGAAAGGCTGGTTAGGGAACTCGGTGACTGACAAATCAGGCAGACAACACCAAAGGCTGATTGATCTTTCCTCTCTCTCTCTCTCTCTCTCTCTCTCTCTCTCTCTCTCTCTCTCTCGCCTGGATTTCAGTATGTAAATCAGGCTGCCCTTGAATGCACAGAGATCTGCTTGCCTCTGCCTCCCAAGTGCTGGGATTAAGTGTGTGCCACCACACCTGGCAGGCTGATTCTTCTTAATGCCAGAAAAGAAAGACAATCAGACATTTAATGTCTCCAAACTGAATCATGCACTTCCTCCTATGAATTATTCTTACCTAAATTTAAAGGTTGTTTGGAGAGATGAGCCAGTCTCTAAATCTGATTACAAGTGGAGATAAAGGTGACCACTGAACTAAACCTTGAGAGTAAAATAAGCAGAGGCTAGAATGAGGAAAACAGGACAAATAAACCCATCTCTTCAGTAAATTATTAAGAACTAAAAAGGCAGTACAAATTGATAAAAGAAAGTTAAGCAAGTTGTCCAATATGAAGTGGGGATTTTATTTGAATCAAAATCATATTATACAAGCTGGGCATGGTGGTGGACACCTTTAGTCCCAAGCACTTGGGAGGCAGAGGCAGGCAGGTCTCTGTGCATTCGAGACCAGCCTGGTCTCCATTCCAGGCCAGTTGTGGCTACAGGGAGACACTGTCTCAAAAAGACAAATAAAAAAGATCAGATTATACAAAAAAAAAAAAATCAGAAATAAAAATACTTCCTTGATACTTGGGTGACTATCCACTATTTTTTCAAGTTCTTATATTTTAGAGATCTAGTGAAGTATTTACCAATGAAATGACATATCTGGGACTCAATTTAAGATAATTCAGTGGGGGAGGGTTGTGAGTCAGGAAGGAATGAAGCAAGACAGACCTAAGTGGATGTTGACATCAGTACACAGTTCAGTACACAGTTTACTCTTGCATACACTGGAATTCTACAAGAAAGGATTCAAAACCACAATCCTAACTAGATAAAGTATCAAATGATCTCTGTCTTTCAGAAATAAATACAAATATTCATTGAGTCCAGCACTTGCTGGAGAAATTTGCTAAGATAAAATACCAGTAAGTCAATGTCCTCAGCCTCAGATTTACCAGATAGTTGACAATCTTTTTTTTTTTTTTTTAATTTGGTCTTTTTGAGGCAGGGTCTCCCAGGTAGCCCCAGCTATGTAGATCAAGCTGGCCTCGAATTTACAGAGATCTACCAGCCTCTGCCTCCCAAGTGCTGGGATTAAAGGCATGTGCCACCATACCCAGGACAGTTCAGGCAACCTTTCATTAACTCAATCTAGATTATCCCTAAATAGGATTACCACAGACTCAATAGAGAATCTATAACTCTCAGAAACAGTCCTAAACATAACATAGATTTGGAATTTGCATAATCGAAGAGTCCTAATCTAGGAACCAATGACTAGACAGGCAGCCCTCTTCTGGTCAATTTTGGTACTGCAGTTGGTTCAACCACACATGGGCTCAAATGACAGAAAAATCTTGCAAATGCAAATTTGGGGAGAAGCCAGGGTATGGAGGAGTTTCTAGAGTCAGACATGTATGAAATTCTCAATAAAGTTTCTTTTAAAAGTTAAAAATAGGGGCTAGAGAGATGTCTCAGAGGTTAAGAACATTAACTGTTCTTGCAGAAGACCTGGGTTCAAATCCCAACATCCACATAGCAGCTAACAACTGTCTATAACTGTAGTTCCAGGGGATCCAGCAGCCTCTTCTGTCCTCCAGGGGCATTGCACAACATGGGTGCACTTACTACATACAGGCAATACGCACATACACACACACACACACACACACACATACATGCACACACAAAGTTAAAAATAGTAATAATAATAAAATATTTTTTAAAATACCAGAAGCCTCTTAAAGCATTTATCTTTAAGATCAAGCCAGTCAACATTCCAGCATGGAGGGGTGAGGGGCTTACAACTCCCCACTCCTAGCTGAGGGCTACTGACAGTTGATGACTTCTGGGGGAGGAAGAGTCCATTTTCCTTACAAGTGTGACCCCTGGTCGGTCAACCTTGCTCAGTACCCATGCATATATGGAGCAGCACAAAATGGACTCAGTAGGTTTTTTTTTTTAAAGACACAATTTGGGAGGGGATTTGGGAAGAGTTAGGGAGAGAAGTGAGGGGTGACTATGATCAAAACTCATTGTATGCCTGTATAAAATTCTTAAAGAATAAAAATATTGAGCCAGGTGTGGTGGTGCATACCTTTAATCCCAGCACTCAGGAGGCAGAGGTAGACAGAGTTCTGTAAGTTCAAGGCCACCCTTGAACCCCAGGTCAGCTGGGGTTATGGGGAGACCCTGTCTCAAAAAAAGACAAATAAATAAATAAATAAATAAATAAATAAATAAATAAAAGAATAAAACTATTATGTTTAAAATTTAGAAAAACGATCCTGACTATATCTTATTACATATGGTAAGCTGATCTTATCCACTCTACCCTTTTCTGACCTGAGCCAGTCATCTAGCTCACAGTTTGAAATGTGGAGTAGGAAGGTGCACTGATTCATCTCACATGTGTTGCAATAAAGTACCTAAGTACAAGTTCGACAGTCTTGCCACCTGGCTTCCTCCACCTTCTAGCTCTCAACCTCTTGCTCAGTTTCTTCATCATAGAGAGAAGAGAAGAGTGCTTGTGCTGGAGATGCAGGTCAGTGGTAGAACACTTGCCTAGCATGCTTATCGTGCTGGGTTCAATCCCCATAATAAAAGAATAAAACAGACAGAATAGAACTTAACCTCAAAGCTGAGACTTAGATAAAATCATCCACATAAAACAACCCATTAAAAAGCATTCCATTGATAGCTATTGATAATCTTAAATAGTCCATGATAAAATTCTTCATCTTACCTTTTTTTTTTTTTTTTTTGTCTTTTTGAGACAGGGTCCCCTTGTAGCCCCAGCTGTCCTGAAACTCACTGTGTAGACCAGGCTGGCCTCGAACTCACAAAGATCCGCCTGCCTCTGCCTCCCAAGTGCTGAGATTAAAGGTATGCACCACCACACCTGGCTCAATATTTTTATTCTTTAAGAATTTACCACTTTCTTACCTATTTTTAAAGTGTACAGTTCAGTAGTATTCACAATGTTGTGCAGCCATCACCTGTCTAGTTTTACACCATTTTCATGACCTTAAAAGGAAACTCCACACCATTAAGCTATCACTCTCCCTCCTCAGTTGACAGACATAAATCTTCTGTCTCTAGGTACATGGACTTAATCAATTGGAATAAAGTGTGCTTTGGATTCCTTAGACCTCTTTAGTTGAATCGTGGCTTGTGAGATAAGCATCTGTTAACTATGTCTCAAATAAACAGGTGAGTTACTTTAGAGAACTCTGTGACTTATATCAGGACTAGAAATCCCTCTACCTTGGAGACAGTGAGATCCACAGGAAGGGAGAGAGCACGCTCCTGACCAGTGAGTGCTCTGAGGACCACCTGCAAGAGGCAGAATAAATAAGGCTCCACAAAGATCCTTCTTCATTCCATCTTCGAATATCCAACCCGCCCACACTCTCAGAAACTCACAGAAAACCCAATGATTGTTCTTCAGTCTTTTGAATCTGCTTTTGAGACTTCAAACTTTCACCATCAAAGCATAAAACTGTGAACCTAGACTCAGACTCACTTCCCAGCATTAGAATCATTTCCTCTCAGGCCCCACCCTTCTCACACTGATTTCCCACCCTTCCTTGGTGTGGGGAAGCCCGCACAAAAATAACTTCGTTCTTTCCAAGATGTGTTAGTCGTTCAACACTTTCAGGAAAATGTCAGGAACAGACAGGGTAGCTACCTTTCAAAGCTTTACTGTTTTTCTGGGAGAAACGGTGGAGGCAAAGAAAAGTGTCACAGAGATACACAGATGTAAACTGAACATCACGTCTTTGAGCTCAGCCAAAAGAATCCGTCCGATTTTTTTGTTTTAAAATAAAGACCAAAACTGCTTACCAGACCAACAGGGAGCAAGGTTCTCTTCCTCTTCACCCTAACTCTGTACCCTACCCACACCAACTGCCTCCCCATCCACCGGATGATAGCTGACTGGCTGCAGGCTCAGGCTGGATCAACCTAGATGATCTTAGGAGGAAGAGGCTGGGGCAGGGTGGCGCACGGCTTTAGTCCCAGTACTCGGGGCGGCGGGGGGGGGGGGGGGGAGGGCTCGGGGCACTTCAATAAAGGCTGGAGGACAGAAGGGGTCCCCAACAGGTACAGGGCTATTCACTTCCTTATCTGAATGCCTGGCAAAAAAAAAAAAAAAAAAGGAGGAAAGGAGGAGGAGGAAGAAGCTCACTAGCACCCTCAACTTGGACCGTCAAAGCTGCAGCAAGGAACAGGGAATCCCTTTCTTTTGAGGAGAAGAGAGAAAGACTGTCAGCAGCAAAACTAGCTCAGGAAAGCCCACACTTCAAACTCCGGGGAAGCCCAAACCCAGAATTACGCCAAATTTTGGAAAAGCCCAGAGCTGGAGTAAACTTGAGGTGACCAGAAGAGAATTACAACTCTCAGAAGAACCCTCCTGCCCCCTAACACAAGTCCCTAACTGCGGCGTAGGCTCACCCTGGTTCTTGGGAGTACACAAAACCTAGGCTTCACCCCAAATCTACTTCAAAAAGGACAGGATCACAAGAGAAGCATTGACCCAAGGAGCCATCACTTCAACAAGTGCCCAGGCAATCTTTATCTTGAGCAAGGTGGGTCCTGCACGTGCCTCGAGCATCGGACCCTTGGGCACTCAGGTGAGGTGGGAGGGGTCCCACGTTTCCAGTCCCCGGGAGCTCAGTGTCAGCCGCCTTGCCCACGCGAGCCCTCCACCTCTGGAACAGAGGCCGTGTGCGGGGAGCCGCAGAGGGTCCCCGGGTGGGAGGCTGCTGCGCGGGGGTGGGAACCTGCCCTGCGCCCCACCAGCGGCCCCCGCTTCCGCCAGGAGGTGGCTCGGAGGTGGAGGCTGGGCTGGGAGCTGCCGGCCAAGAGTGAAGCAACTCGGGAAAGTTCCCGGAGCCGGCTCCGGCTTCCTGCAGCCTCCTCCCCCCACTCACCCCCCCGCGCGCCCCGGCGACCACACCGACCTGAGATGGTCTCCTGGTAGCCCTTGGTGAAGAACTGCATGGCGGTGGCCGCCCTCCAGGGCGTCTTAAGCAGCCCCTGCCGCTGGGGGTCCTCGCCCAGCGAGCGCAGAATAGAGGAGTAGGCGGCCGCTAGGCTGGGGAGGTTCAGCTGGTTCTCCTCCTCGCTGCGGGGCCGATCTGCCTTCCAGCCGTCGGCCGGCTGGGGGCTCTTGGCCTCGGGCCGCGGGGACTTCTCTACCGGCCGGCTGGCCCCAGGCCGCGGCGGCTCCCGCTCGGGGAACCCATTGGTGCATCTGGCTCCCCGCGACTTCTCCATGGACCCCGAGAGACCGCTCCCGAGACACCCAGGGACGCAAGCGCAGCGGCTAAACTTCGCCGACCTATGGCCGATCACCCGTGGGCAGGGACCAGACGACCGAAACCAGGCGGCGAGTCAAGAGCAGCCACCAGATGGAAAACCCAGCAGCGCCGCTCTTTTTATCGCCAGGAGCCGCGGCCAGCGCCGCGGGGTGTTCCCATTGGCCCAAGCCGCCTTGCGTCACGATTCTAGCCCCTCCCTTTCGTCCGGCCCTCCTGGGTAGCCCCGAAGCACTGACTAGGTCCTGGTTGGCACCCACCGCTTGAGATGGGATGAACCGAGTCTGCAAAGAGACAGGCGTCCTGGGAGCTGGAACCTCAGGAGAGACAGTCTGGGCACCCCATCCGCCCCCACTTTACACAGGGCAAGAGGGGGTGCTGCAAAAATGCTCTGATCCCGTCGCTCTGTGAAAGATGAGCAAAGAGGTGACCTGGGAAGGCCGGAGATCAAGCCGAGCTGGTGATAGACTAAGCTACCTTTGTGCTTTTAAAGCAAGAGAATTTGTGACTTGAAACTTGTCTGCTGGTTTAAAATGTGAACCACGCATTTGCCACCCTCTGGCCACCGTCAAGGCGTGAGTGGCCCTTACGGGAGTCCCTATGCCCAGGAAGATAGTATCTGTGAAGCTGCACATCTCGGCTCTACTGTTTAGCCTCACTGTTTAGCCTGTCTTTCACAATAATCAATATGTTTTCTTTCTTTACCGTGAAGTGCGTGATCAGCCAAGAGACAGCTACACGCTCTAACCCGACCGTACTGCTCCCAGGCATATCAGCCAGTGACTAGAATAGACAAAGAAATAAGCATCTATGTTCTTAAGATTTGCAGAACTGAAGCGGGGCATGGTGGTGCACGCCTTTAATCCCAGCACTTAGGAGGCAGAAGCAGAAGGTCTCTGTGAGATCGAAGCCAGCCAGGTCTACATAGTGAGTTCCAGGCGGGCTGGGGCTACAGGGAGACCATGTCTCAAAACAACAACAACAACACACACACACACACGGAAAAAAAAAAAAAAAAAAAAAAAAAAAAAAAAAAAAAAAAAAATTGTGGAACTGAAAAATATCTTCTGACCAGTGATTAGGAATAGCTGTGGGTCTTTTGGTCTCAAATCTCCACACCTTAGAACTCTCCAGTGTGTGATCACTCATCTGCAGCATAAACTGACCCCTAGGGTCCCTAAAGGATGGCTTTTTAGGTAAGAATCCCTGCCTCTTGCCTTCAGCTAGCTTTCTTAAAAGAAAGCAACTACTGCCTTACTTGCTTTTCCACTGATTGGCTTCCTTGGGGTCCTTCCTGCAGACTAACAATTGTGGTGGCCAGAACTTTGACCCTGGAAAAATTGATTCACAAGTGAAAAAAGTTCGGTTTTCCATTTAAAACCCGCTTGTGTTTTGTGGAAATAGGATGATCAATTTAAAGTGACGTGCAGAGCTCCAAACCCCAGATGTTGGTACAAATTGTGAAATGCTACTGATCAACTGAACTCAACCAGTGACATCTGCTTTGTTGTCTTTGAGATTAAAAATGGACATTTTTGCTCACTACAGGATTTATGCCATAATTCCAAAGGTGAATTTTAACAAGTGTAGCAAATTAGTATCTTATTATTTGCTTCAGAGTTTCTTGTGTTGATTTTCTATATTAGTAGGGGCTGGAGAGATGGCTTAGTGGTTAAGAACACTGGCTGTTTTGGCAGAAGACCCGGGTTCAAATCCCAGCACCCACATGGGGGCTAACAATGGTCAGTAACTCCAGTTCCAGGAGATCTGACACCCTCTTCTGACCTCTGCAGGCATTTCATGACATGGGTGCACTTACATACATGCAGATAAGACACTTATACACATAAAATAAAAATAATAAATAAAATATTTAAAAAACAGTATCAGTAAACTTAAGATCAGACAAAGCAGGAGATAAGCCACAGGAACTATTCTATAGTAATAAAGTCTGTCCACTATTGTAAGGTGTAATTCATATTTCTTGGACAACTATTCCTGGTATAACCCTGTTCTAAACATTCAGGAAAGAAATATGAACATTGTTTAGTCTCAGAGTCACTCAGTCTAAAACAGAAGAAATGAGATTGCCAATGTAGCTCAGCTGGTAGAGTGCCTAGCAAGAAGCCCTGGTTTCCATCCCCAGAACTGTATAGATCAGACATGGTGGCACATGCTTGTCATCCTAGCACGTGGGAAGTGGAGGCAGAAGGATCAGGAGTTCAAGGTCATCCTCAGCTACACAGAGAGTTCAAAGCCAGTCTGGGATACATGAAACCCTGTCAAATAAATAAATAATAACAAATAAATAAATAAATAATAAATAATTAAATAAATAAATAAATAAATAAATAAATAAATAAATAAAAGAAATGTAAGGCACTTGTCTAATATGCTTGAGGCCCTGGATTCAATCCTGAACTGAGATACCAACACTTTTGTCATCAATTCCCAGCACAGTCTCTGGATTCACACTACATAATATAAAATAAAGGCACTGAAACCCAGGGGAATTCTGAATAAACCTCTAGCTTTACTTGCTTTTCGTTGCTGGCTTTTGTCACCAATTTTAGAGGTCACATAAATGAGCAATATTCTGCCATTAGCTTTAGTATGAACAGCATCTCTGGCCTCTGAGATGAGATGTCCCCCACAGAGTCATGTGTTGAATACTTGGTCCCAGCTGGTGATACTATTTTGGAGGGGATGGAAACTTCAGGAATTGAGGCCTGGCTGGAGAAAATAGGCCACTGTGGGTGTCCTTTGGGGTTATATCTTTCCCCAGGACCTTTGTGTCTTTCTCTCTCCTTCTGCTTCCTGTCAGCCAAGAAGTAAAGAACTGCCTGATGCCACACACGCCCACCTCCATGATGTTCTGTCCAAGTGCTTGGAGCCAAACACTAATGAACTTGTTGATGAAAGAAACAGTTCCCACCTCAAAGGAATGAAAGAGATAGTTTATTCTAGAGCCAAATATGAGTGACAATGGGCTGGGAACACAGATTTAGGTCTCCCCAAATATGAGGTAGTAAGGTAGCAATTTTATGAAGTTTTATAGAAACAGAACAATGAAGATCATAAATCAACAAATTTTCAAATACATTGGTGGGTACATTGGGTAAAAGGGTTTTAGTAAAGTGGGGGAAACTGCTATAGCTCTCAGATTCTAGCTAATGGCATTACCTTTGTTCGGTAAAGAAACAAAGGTCTATTTGAATATTCCAAAGGCTTTGCCTAAAATCCAAAGATGTTAGGTCACAAGCAAAGAAGGCAATAAATGGCCATTAAGAGGGCTAAAGATTGCCCAAGGTAACTTGGCTCTGGACTTACCACATTCCAGTCTTTCCACAATCTTGAAGCTCTGATCAGTTAATAAACTTTGCAGAAGCTTCAGTGTAAGATGTGGTTGTTTCCAGGAACTTTCATTCACAGACTGAACCTCCTAAAACCACGAACAAAATAAACCTTTCCTTCTTTACCTTGTTCTCTCAAGAATTTTGCTCTCGGAATGCAAATTGTGACTAATGAAACAGGATGTGTGGCTCACAATGTGTGCCTAAATTGTTTTTCAGGTAGCTTAAAGTGTCTAAAACAAACAGCTCTTCACCTGAACTAGGGTCTGGTGGGTGACCTTTTAATGTCAGAGGCCCCAAATCTCTGCTCTCAGAGCACACTAATGCCACTATTTCTAAGCATACATCCATCCCTGAGAGTTAGACAGTTGATTATATATGTGTAGAGAATTACTTCATTTTTTTCATGCCTTCTAGCACCCTCACAACTCAGACTACCCTGTCTCTTAATCCAATAAACCCCTAAACCTTATGCTCATGGAGGTGGATTTGAGACTTGAGGCTCCCGCCCCCTCACATTTGACATCTCACAAATAAACTCTTTTTCAAAACTGGTCATTTCAGTGATTGGCATACAGTATAGCAGGCAAAATAGGCCCATTTGGTAGCAGCAATGCCTTTTTATCAGATACTCAAAGATAATACAAGGAAGGAAGCTTTAAAATTACTTTTACAGGACTGGAAAGATGGCTCAACAGTTAAGAGCATTGGCTGCTCTTGCAGAGGACCCAGGTTCCGTTCCCAACACCCACATGGCAACTAAGAACCACCTGTAACTCCAGCTCCAGGGCATCTTCTGACCTCCTTGGGCATTGCATGACGCAGGTGCACTTACATACATGCAGACAATACACTCATACACATAAAATAAAAATACTAAATATTTTTTTAAATCACCATTACATAATCAGTCTAGTAGTAATGTAGACTGTCAGCAGGGTTGGTTACAAACTAACAGAAGAAAAAGGAAGCATCAACTGAAAGAGAAAGGTATGTCCTGCAGAATTCCTTAGCATAAAATAGTTGCATAGTGGCATATGCCTTTAGTCCCAGCACTCAGGAGGCAGAGGCAGGAGGGTGAGTTCAAGGCCAGCCTGGTCTACATAGTGAGTTCAGGCCAGCTGGGGCTGCAAGGAGACCCTGTCTCAAAAAAAAAAGACCAAAAAAAATAGTTCAGTAGTAAAACTATTAGTATTTATAGACAGTAATATAATGATACTGATATTTCTAAACCAATAAGAGATCCCATTAGCAGGATGCACCTACTCTGGGAATTTCTTTCTACCAAAAAAGCAAGGAATTTTTTTTTTCTCTCATTTCTAGGGCAGGTAGAAAAAGAGGCAGATAAGAGAGACACATGGCATCAAAGACTGATTGCTGCCAGGCTCTGAAGATAGTCATAGTCACTTAACAAGGGCAACAGATAAACTAATATTAGGCATTCAGTGATGGTGATTAGAAAGAAGCAAATGGGTACTAGAGAGATAACTCAGGGGTTAAGAGTACTTCCTGCTCTTTCAGAGGACCAGAGTTCGGTTCCCAGTACCCACATGCAGGCTCAAGATTGTCTGTAACTCAGTTCCAGGGGATCCAACGCCCTCTTCTGGCCTCCATAGCCACTATGTGTACCGCACATGATGCCCATACATACATGCAGGCATTCACACACACACATACACATAAAATAAAATAAATAAATCTCTACCCAGGTGTGGTGGAGTATGCCTTTAATCCTAGCACTCAGGGGGCAGA